TGCGAAGGATCGTTCACATATACGTTAAGCTCTACCCTTACAATATAGGAAAATGATATCCTGTAATTCTAGAACGGGTTTGTCAATCAATCCTGACTTAACAAAGACAACATGCTATTTCCAACACACGCATGTTGCACCCACTGACGGAATTATGCACACACGCAAAGAAAAAACTACACCTGGGAGTCCTGATTTCTTGAGTCTGTAGTATGTCGCTTATATCGAATATCTCAAAAATGATACTGAAACGCTCAGTGACCAGTGCATGGGTTTTTAATATATGTAATATTATGTGGTCATTGGTAGAATACTTGTTGGCTTGTTTAGTGTCACCGTTGTTAGTTTTAATCCTTTTAATTGTCTCAGTTTTACTTCAGAAGTATTTCTGAAATGTAATGATTTTCATCCCTTCAATAAAGTTTTATTTATTACAACTGCGTATTTATCACAAGACTGCTAAGTTAAACATAAAAGTCAATCAGATCTATTTGGATGTTTGAAAAGCATACATGTACATGTATGTCTTTACTCATTAAGCTGTAGGGTCTAAAAGTTACAAATTGTGACAAGGAAGAAATATAAAACATCAATTTTATTATTTCCTAAAAAATTCTCGGATGAGTGATTAGGAGTTAAAAAATTACTTCAATTGTAATAAAAGAAATTGTAATACCACACTGTTGAAACTTATTAATTTGTAGTTATTTGCCTGCTCCTTTGATATCCCCTCTATTTTGTTCACAAAAAATTTCGTTACAATGCTTCAAGCTGCCACTTAGTTCTGTGTTTGGTATCGTTAGTCACTAAGTAAATAAAAATGGATTCCTGTAAATGTTGACTTTTCAAAAGCAAGTGATAACATTTACTTTAGAAATTTAAATGCTCAGGTTATACAAGTTTTCATGACTGTTCTTCCCTACCTCTGTAACAAGCGCAACGGCAATGGACAACTACATTATATTAAGCAGAAACCAAAGAGCTGCATTTAATGCAAAAGATCAACAACCGATACACACAGTCATAATCATTCTATCACAGAGGTGAGACATACCACGAATAGTTACAGTCTTATGATGGTATTTGATAACATGCACGAGCGATCGTCACAATTAACTTTCAAATGCTTTTCTTTCATTTGTAAGAACTTCCATAACTTTCTTCTCCATGTCCTCAAGGGAAATGGTGACTTTATTCAGTGATGAGAAGTCCCGTTTCAAAGCAAAAACATGACTGTTGATGTATCTATAGCAACAATGTGAATCAAGTTCTTAATGCATAATCAAAAGATCAGAATGCCACAAGGTGTCTCCCAATGAGAAAATGTCTGTTGAGAATTATGATTCTATTTTAAAATTAAAATTATATGAATAGGCTTCGTCGGTTGTTTTCTTATCATTATTAACATAACACAACCGTTGCAATAAACAGTGGACATGTAATGCTAAATATTGGGCCAAATTTTACATGATATTCTGCACCCAAGTGGTGTTTTCCAATCGAGATGATAATGTACTCTCTTTGTCACAGCCATTTTCTTTAACTGAGCTGGTGAGCATAAATTCAGCTTGCAAGAAAAAGTACAGCCCATGTCAGAATGTCAACAAAAAATCAAAAGGCTAATGAGGGCCGGAAGAAAGGTTAATGTTATATGTCCAAAATTTCAAAATTAACACTGGCTTATACTCTTGATGAAATAACAGTGAGAGATTGCTAGATATCATGCCTTAAAGACCTTTTTAATTTCCTCAAAATAAGTTTAAAAAAATTCATATTTCATCCTGCTGTGTAGTATTGTGTAGGTTAAAGTTAGGTTTGTTCTTCTATTAAAAATTGGCCATCCTTGTTCCTTCTCCGTTTTTTCCTTCCTCTTTGGGGTTTGTCTACTCTGGGAGAGTAAATTGATTATTTTAATTCTGAATGTAACCTGTTTAACTAATAACCAAATGTAACTTAGCTTCTTTTTACTTGGTCATACCATAATATTCTTACTACAGTGCATTAACCTTGTCGATCTGTTAAGAGGGGACCGTGGTAATTCCAGCAGTGGTGAAAATATGCAACACACATCTCAAAAACAGTGGCCTAATATCTGCATAAGGATCACAGTTTAGCACAAGCTGCCGCAACCAGTGCCATGACTTTGTGATTCGCTCCCTATATTTGACCAGAAAGGTAGTATTCAAAGTCCTGGGTCTGACT